GTGTTGTAACCAAAGATTGGAAAAGAGATTAGGGGACTCAGTTCCTGGAGTGGAACTATTAAAAAGGAAGCCACTCAGCTCTGCAATGGAGAAGTGGGAATGGGGCCCAGGCCTCCTCTTAGATGCTGGGCAAACACCAGGCGAGGGAGCATCCCTAACCAGCAAAATGTGTCTGCTGTCGGCCATAAAAGTGCGGCTTATTGGTGCTGTGGTGATAGGAGAACCGAGGAGTCACAAAACGACCTCTTTGGAGGGGAATAAGGAGGCAGGTTTATTGCTGTCAGCAAAGAAGGCTGCTTGGAGCTGGAACACCTATCCTGACGGCAGGAGACAGAGCTCACTGCCAGGACCTCAGGGCTGCGACCCTCTACCAACAGCTGGTCATGAGTGGAGGCAATGGACCAGACCCAACTGGACCTTTCCACTGTGTTCTTCTCCTGACTCGGGTGCATCTTCTCCCCATCCCCAAACAGAGACCAGACAGGCTTCTGCCCTTGGCTGTCTGTCCCCCATCCATCCTGAGCTGTTCAGGCACAACCTTTCCCACCTTCCTCTGTCTCTCTTGACACTTGAATTGACAGCCTAGGTTCAAATCCCAGTTACTGGCTGTGTGGCCGTGGGGAGTCACTTGACTTCTCTGGGTTTCAGTGTCATCATCTGTGAAGTAGGTAGGATAACAGAAGGCACCACATGGGACTGGATTGCTGAGGGGATTCAATGAGGTTTGTAAAGTACTCAGCTCAGTGTGTGACACTGATAAGCCCTCAGTAATGTTATTTTTTATTGTGATGGTGATCGGTTTTACTGTTACCACATCGTGTTATAATTTGATCACAGTCTATCGCCCTGACTAGACCGAGGGCTCTGGACGTCTCATGTCCTCATAACAAACTCACGACATAGTTATCATTGTCCCCATTTCAAAGATGATGATTCTGAGGCTCAGCGTGATGTACCAATCTCCAGCCCCACCGTCACACAGCTGGAGCCAGACAGGGGCTAAATCTTGAAAGTGGACTCCATGGTCCTTAAAATTTGCTCCCAGGGCCTCAGCCTGGGCAACCTCTGAGACTCCCATTTTCTGTTGCCTCGGCCTCTGGCTCTGTGCAAGCCTGTCAGGCAGGAAATAGCTAAAGATGCTACTCCAGAGCTCAGGCAGGAAATAGTTAAAGAAAAGTAGTCTCAGCTCCAGAAGATATGAAGCCAGAAGCCAGGTCTGCAAGCTTCCAGGATGTGGGATGGGTGCCAGCAGGCTGCCAGCAATCTGAGCTATGGAGGGAGCGGCTGCCACTCAGACAAGGGAACACCAGCCAGAGCCACTTCGTTACCAGAAAGATCCTGCTGCTGAAAGAGACACACAGACACAGGGAAACGTGCAGACATACATGCATCACACACTCACACAGAGACGTGCCCTTATACATACAGACACACACAGAGACAAACACACACACAGGATAAATTTATCCTGTCAGGGGGATGCTTGCTCCTGCTCCCTAGGGAGGGAGCTTCTGCACTGCAGTGGGGATACCCAGGGCTTCTTATCCTGAAAAAGAGACTGGGGTGATCCTGGAATGTGGAAAGTTCCGTTCATAGGCTAGCCCAACAGTGAGGAGGCAGGGGAGTTTTCCTGCCTCCAGGCGGAGTTTTCCTCAGCAGGAGCTCAGGTGAAAGGGTGAGAGGTGAGAGGTTTTGGGGATTAGCAGATCTGTCTCTCCTGACTGACATCCATCCAAAGAATTCTGTGGCCTGCCCCCTCTGGTGGTGTCATCTTGACCCCCCCCCCACACACACACACCCCTCCTCCTCTTCAGAGGCTTCAGAATTAGCAGAACCAGAACGTAACCCCTGGCCCAGGCTTTGAATCACAGTGCCAGGCTCTGTCTCGGGCACCTGCAGAACCAGGTTCAGGCATTTGAGTTCACAACTGACCCTTTTGGGGAGCAGGGGCAAAACTAAGTAAAAAGTGTCAGGACCCCAGGTTTAGAAGTAGGAGTTCCACGCAGGGCTCTCTTTCCACTGGGGGCTGGAGGCTCTGAGAGGAAACCATGGCCCAGGCCCAACTGGCATGATGAGGTGACAAGACAAGTACCCGATGCCAGTGACACTGGCTCTGCATATAGCCAGGGCTCTGTGACCTTGGGCAAGTGATTCAGACTCTCTGAACCTGTAGGATAACTGGAATAACACATAGGGCTGTTGTGAGGATTAAGTGAGCTAATGAGGAAAAATGAGGAAGGTGCCCTAGCGGGGTGGGGGGCGGGGCGGTAGGTGATCATTTAACCTTCAGACCCACTCATCAGTGACCCTCCCCTCCCATGAGGGCTGGGTGCACAGCCCAGAAGCTACCTGAGGAGCAGTGATCCAGTCCTCCTGGACCTCCTTGAAGCCAGCATGACTCACCTTTCCCTCCAGGAGGGCGCAAAAGGGTCCAGATGCAGCTGAGTGGGAGCTACTAATGGAGTTTCCTGCCCCAGGCTGCCGTCTGTGCAGTGCTGGATGGACCTGCCAGTCTTGGAGGGCAGTTAATTTATAACCCACCCTACTCCGGGCATACACTGTAAAGGCAGGAATGGACACAGGGCAGGTTTTCTGATCTAGCAGACCGGGTTAAGGAGGAGTCCTGGAGCCCTCAGTAGTTTTTGCAGGCTTTTATTGGGATTTACCAGGTACACGGCAGGCAAGGGTGCTGGGGGGCCGGGAGGCTGGCAGGCCTCCCAGCCCCCAGCAAATCTTCACTCTCTCTGGGCTCTCTCTGGTGTTCTCTCTGCTCTTCTCAGCTTCTCTTTCGGCTTCTCCTGGCATCCCCATGACGCCGCCCTTAAAAGCCCAGTCTCAGCCCAGGTGAATCCTATCTACCTCTGCTCACACCCTACTCCAGGAGCCCGCCATCAGGCATGCCTTCAGGACCGCAAGGATCCATCATCTATCCTGATGGCGGGAGGGCAGAAAAGCCTGACATTTTCTTTACCCTACACACTGGAACAAAGGGGCCTCCATCCCCAAATCCTCAGCCTCTCAGCTAGAGAGGGAGAGGAGAGCAAAATCAGGAACAGGGTCCAACTTGAATTCCTTCCTTCCTTCCTGCCAGAGGGTTGGGGAGGTGAGCCTGCTTCCTTCAACTCCATCCAGCAAAGCCCCATCTTGCACCTACACCTCGTTAATTCTGCACAATTTCAGCAGGAGCAGGGGCTCCGCAGCCAGACTGCCTTGGTCCAATCCCCCATGCCTCACAGCTCTGTGACCTTGGACAAATTGCTTACCCTCTCTGTGTCTCTTTTTCCTCATCTAGAAAATGATAACTCCCTGTGCTAACATGAAGATTAAATAATAATACAAAGATTTCAAGCAATCCTAGGAACACAGTAAATGCTAAATTATTATTATTATTATTATTATTATTATCAGCTGCTAGTTCATCTGGAAGCATCGCCAGCACCCAGTGAGGGAGAGGTCTCGAGGCAGGCGTGCCTCCATCCTCTGTGGGGCAGGGAAGGGAGTGGGTAACAGTTCAGGAAAATGGGAGAAGGGTGCCGGAAGGAGCATCAGAGAAGTCAGGTTGCTGTCCTGGGGGAGGGTATTGGGAGTCTGGGCTGAGGCTGCTGGCCCGGCTCCCCCACCCTCCGTCATTCTCTACACTCTTCCATTTTTTTTTCACCCCAGAGGGTCTGCAGCCGCTGGACAGGCTTGCCCAGGACTTGGTAGGCATAGTGTGGGCGCCGTAGTGCAAAGGTGTCCTGAGCAGGAAACAGCAGCCCTGCTTCGGTGGCAGCCCAGCTCGGCCCACAAAGGAGGCCTCTTGTTCTACCTGTACGCGAAGGTGTGGCACCTCCCGCTCTGACTTCCAGCTCTCTGAGGTTCTGGTCCCTCATTCTGGGATTTCTTACATGTCCAGAGTCATGTCTATATCATTGAGCTAAAAGCTCCCTGAACAGTGCCATCCCCCTGTGACTGGGGCTCCCTGAGGCAGGGCTGTGTCTCCCCTCTGACTGGGGCTCCCTGAGGCAGGGCTGTGTCCTCCCTCAGACTGGGGCTCCCTGAAGGCAGAGCTAGGTCTTTTCTTGGGTGTCAAGTCACTTGTCTTCTAGAAGAAGACTTTGAGTGCTCTAGGAACGGAATGAGGGATGTCCCATTTACTCAGAATTTCCTTCCATCCCACCTGGGTAGGGTAGATGGGCAGCAAGACAGGGCACTGCAAGTCCTGGCAGGAAGTGGAAAGACCTAGTACGGGCTGTGGCATCTGTGATTTGGTGGTAGAGGCTAATGGAGATCATGACCAGTTCATACTCTCTTCCCTGGTTCTGCCCCAGCCCCAGCCATCAGCTTTCACAGGACAGTCCCTGACTTCAGGGACAGGGAGAGGAGTGAATGGGCCCCTGACACCCTGCCCTCTCCAGAGTCCAGAAGGATGTTCAGTGCTGTGGAAGCCAGCAGGAACATCTCTGTATATCAACCACATAGAGTGCTTGAGTTTCAGTTGCTGACTAACTAGTGTTTGTTGAATGAATAATAGCAAACATGCAGGCCAGTGATTCCCCCAGCCTGGCTTACCTCTGCCAGCCTCTATCTTTGCAAATCCTCCAAGGCCAGCCCACATTCCCCAACCAGCCCAAATACAGGTTTCTCTCAACCTTCTCTGACCACCTGTCACATTGGGCTCTAGTCCTCAGCTTTCTAACTCATCAGACTCCACAGGAAAGTTTCCTAAAACATTAATGCAGGGCTCCATCACCAGCATTCTGATTTAATGGGCCAGGCGTGGGGTGGCAAGGTGATGCTGTCACGCTGCCATGGTTGAGAAGCAAGGGACCAAGGGACCAGACTGTGGTCTCCTCCAGAGGGAGAGGAAGTTACTGTTTATCTCTAAATCCTAGCACCAGGCCTGCTCATAAAAGGTGCTCAATAGATGTTTGTTGGCACATGATGGCGTAACCGGTGGGTCTCCCTCTTCCTGGAGATTCCTGAAGATAAACAGGACTGCAGTCAGCAAGGGTTAAGAATTTATCCTGTTGACTGACAGACTGGGTTCTAATTGTGCCACTCCCTCAGCTTTGGGCAAGTTGAATCTCCAGTTACCTTCTCTGTAAATAGAGCTAACAACAGCCCTTCACACAGAGTTGTTTTGAGGGGGCTGGAGGGCGTTGTTTTGAGGGGCCTGGAAGGCTAAGCTAAAGCTTAGCTCAGGCTGTTTGTGTTCATCTGGGTCCTGGCAGGAGACAGATGGTTCCTTCAAACCACTGAGGAGAGTCTACGAAGAGGTTATTTGCAAAGATGTGGGCCAGTTGAGGAAAGCAAGGAGGGGTGCTTCAGAACTCCTTCCAGGCAGCAACCCTGGCAGCGTTAGCAGCAGAGGCCTGGAACGGTAAGGGAAGAAAGCTGTTGCCCAGGCCAGAGGTGGACCCCAGCTCTAGACAGGCATCTGAGCACTGGTCAGGGTCCACTCTCAGCCCAACACCTACCCCACCCTCTCCCCTTTATTTCCTAGGGTAACTGCCTCCAGAGTGGCCACAGGAGTCCAAGGGGTGTGATCCACAGCACCCATGAAGTCCGTCTCCCCAGGGCACAAGGCAGGGCAGAGTGGATAGTGGATTTAGAGGAAATAAACAGAAAATCTCCAGTACCCTGACATATGGTACAGGCTGATTAAATATTGCTTCTATTACTACTGTCGTGGGACTCGGTGGACCATCATGTGACATCTGACCTTGACATTTCACAGAACACAGCATCATATGGACATATTGGTGTCCCCCACCAGGGAGACGGCCCAGGGTCACTATCCACTCCTCAGTAGTCCTGTCTACACCTGGCAGCTTCACCGCACACACTGGAGGGAGGCAGGGCAGCAGGAAGGAACGCCACATATTTCCATGTTCAGCCATGGGCTTCAGCATGTTTGACAAGCTATCAAAATGGCTTTGCAATAGCAAGCTTCATTAAAATGGAAGCACGGTGCTCTAGTATGCAGATGGGGCCACTTTATTACTTTTTAATTTGTTTACAGAAAGCCCATGTTTGGTGTACAGTATCTTCGCAAATAGTAACAAATGGGCATGTTTGCTGCCTCCAAAGCTGTGGTGTCCCTGGACAAATAGGCTGAAACCATGTTTGAACACTGCGCTTGGTTACTCTTAATAGAATCTGACACGCTCCTCAAAATGTGATGGAGTCTGGGGAGGCCAGGGGGCCAGTGTGTGGTGAGTGTGTGGCTTTGGACTCACTTTCCTGATTTGCGCATAAGTGACCTGGGCCAGATGGTCTCCACCGCCTTTGCAGCTTTCCTAGCCCACGACTTGGTGATTCTCTACCATCCTAGAAGCTACAAAGCTCCCTGAACCACCAGCTTCCTTAGTTCCCAAGGGAATCCCTCTTCATTAAAATGAAATAAAACCTACAAATTACCAAATGCATTTTGAAAATGGGTCAAATTGAATGAAGAATACTTAATGGAGCATAACTACCCAGTGACAGTTCAAATACTTGTACCATAGCCCCCAAAGCAACAATATTCATAAATCTGTAGGACCCTCAGATCCAAGCTTCACCGATTATTAGCTGTGTGATGTTGGGGAAGTCACTTAACGGCTCTCTGCCTCAGTTTCCTCATCTGTAAAGTCAGGGGTAATAACACCCTTCTCATGGAGCTGTTGGGGGATTAGATGAGTGGATTCTTACGACCCGTTGTGGCACCAGCAAGTGCCCAGTTATTGCCAATACTGTCACTATTATTCATAGGAATTGCATTTCTATTAGAGAAAGGCTCTAGGAGAATCCCTGTTACATCAAGTTGTCCATTCAACAGATGCTGTCCTATTGTGACCATGCTCACAGGTGTGCCCTTGCCGCCCAAGTCATTCTGGATCACATTCCCCCCACTTGGTTTTCTTCACAGCAATCTAAACTCATTGCAATCTAAAGTTCCCTTTTTGGGGGCCTCCCTGGTGGTGCAAGGGGTTAAGCACAGCTCTATGAAGCAATCCGCAGCCTCTGCAGCATGAGTTAGATCCCCGGCCGGCCAGGGAGCAACCCACATGGCGCAGTAGACCTCTTCTGTCTTGCCCGCTGCTCCCCTCAGCACCTCTGGCCTGTACCCCAGTTCTTTTATGCATAAATAAATAAATCTTTAAAAAAAGTGGTAAAACAAATGACACAGAAACATTAATTCCAAAGGGCACCTGCACCCCTATGTTTATAGCAGCACTATTTACAATAGCTAAGCTATTTGGAAACAACCCAAATGCCCAAAAATAGATGACCGGATCAAGAAGATGTGGTGTATATGCACAATGGAATATTACTCAGCAATCAAAAAAGATAAACACATGCAGTTTGCAGCAACATGGATGGAGCTAGAAGGGATCATGCTCAGCGAAATAAGTCAGAAAGAAAAAGAAAAATACCGGATGGTCTCACTCATAGCAGGAATCTAGAAAATTTAAATAAGAGACCAGGAAAAAGATTAATTAATATAAAGTAAAAATCAAAATCAACAAGCAACTATGGACCAGAGACACACTGCAGGGGGTCGGGGGGAGAGGAAGGATTAAGGTCAAAATAAGGGGGGTGCAATTGCATGGGGAATATAACCAAAATGAAAATGTATACATTGTGCAAAAATGAAAAATGATGTAAGCATTAAAATAAAATATTTAAAAAAAGATAAAAAAAAGTGGTAAGGAAAAGTTCCCTTTTTTATTCATCTCTCTGTTTAGTGCCACCTTCTGTCCACCTTCTTGTGGGCTCCATGAGGGCATGGACATTGTTGCCTTATTCGTGACCTTCTCTCTACACCTATAGCAGTATCTGGCGGTTCTCCACAGTCTTGTGCAGTGAAGGAACAGCTGCAGAGCACACAGTGTTGATGGTACATGAGGAAGAACTCTGGAAACCATCGGTCAAGGTTGGGCCCCATGTGGACCCAACATACATGTATTTCATGATTCACACACACTTTCATCCTCTGAAACCTCAGTCCATTAACTGGGTTTTTGTTTTGGCTTTAGGATAAAATAAAATCACTTAAACCCTGGTGGCACGAGGGTTTAAGTCTCAGCACGATCTCAGCACTATGAAGTTATTGGCAGCCACTGCAGCATGAGTTCGATCCCTGGCCAGGGAGCTACCCACATGGTGCAGTAGACCTCTCCTGTCTCACCCGCTGCTCCCCTCAGCAGTGTATTTCAGTAGATCTGCCTGCTCTGCTCCCCACTCTGTCTCTGGTGAACCTACTTACCCCCACACCTCTGGCCTACACCCAAGTTCTATGCAATATTAAATAAATAAAATCTTTTTTTAAAAAAAATCACAAAAGAACATGAAAAGAGAAACAAAACAACATCCTATTCCCTGGGGTGAAGTCCTAGACTCAGCGCCTTTAAACTGTCACCTGGGCCTCCCTGCAGGACCTGGGATGTGGTGCCTTCTTGTGATGGAAATGGGCTGTCAGGAAGGAGAGTCTCCATGATGGGGATGATGCATTCTTTTGGGTGCACCAGCCTTTACAGTTTGCAAAGTTCTCTCGGAGTCCTCGCCTCACCTAATGTTGTGAAACAGGAAAGCCCAAGCACCCTCTGGGTATCGTGACCCCCATTTTGTAGATGCAGAAGCCAAAGGTGGAGACAGGACAGACTTGCAGCCCTCCCACAGCCTGGCCAACATTCCTTCCAATAGCACCTTGAGGCCACACCTAAAGGGATGTTAGCTACCCTGAGCAAAACAAGGAAGGGGGGTTGTGCATTTCAAACACATTTTCAAGGAATAAAATGAAAAGAAATGGGGCACTCAGTTAGCCAGAATGTATCAACCAGGAACACACACAACCCCCCCAACCCCAGCATTCTACCTCACAGAGCTTCCTGTCAGGTGTTTCTCAAGATTTCAGAAGTTACACATTTCGAATTGATCGCTCTAGCAAAGATCCAGGCCAAACACACCAAAGAAACAAAGAGCCCACTTTTCCCAAGGTATTATGTTATTACAGTAATAATATTTCAGGGCCTCCCTGGTGGCGCAAGGAGTTAAGCACAGCACTGTGAAGCTATCCGCAGCCTCTGCAGCTCAAGTTTGAATTTGATCCCCGGATTCCTGGCCAGCCAGTGAGCTGACTCACACATGGAGCAGCAGACCTCTCCTGTCTCTCCTGCTGCTCCCCTCAGCAGTGTATTTCAGCCAATCTGCCTGTTCTGCTCCCCACTCTGTCTCTGGTGAATCCTCTCACCCCCTGCACCTCTGGCCTGTACCCCAGTTCTTATATGCAAAAATAAATAAATCTTTAAAAAATGGTAATAATAATCATTTCCCCTACGTCATAGATGAGGAAACTGAGGCACAGAGAGGTTCAAGAGCATGCTCAGGGTCACACAGCTGGTAAGCGGCTGAGCCAGGCTTCCACTTCGAGCAGTCAGGCTCCTCCTCTAGGCTCTTTTCCATGACATCCTGTGGTCTCCCCCAGGGGAAACAATCTGGTAAATCCTACAGAAATAAAAAGATACAAGAATATTGGTAAGAATTCATTTTCTTGCTAAAGTTTTACATCACAAAGATGATAATGAAAAATCAGGATTATCCCTTTGGGTGTAAAACTTCCAATCTAATAGCATTCTCAGTGAGCGAGGCCACAGAAGACTGTCACCTCTCGGGTCAGCAGTGATGGAAGCGGGTGTGGGATGAGAAAAAAAATACTCAAAGTCCAAGTGAGAGAGGCCTAGAGGGCCATACCTTAAAAAGTGCAGCCCCGACCCCTGGGCAGTCTCTGATTTATTTAGAACCAGGTTCAGAGAAGATGGACAAGTACATGAGGGAATGTACATGCGTGGGGGTACATTATCTGGATGTGTCATTGTCTGGTACAAGCTTAGGTAAAATGACCGGGGGCTATTGTTTGTGGGAGGTGGGAAGGGGGTGTCCACAGTTCCCACTAATCAAAGCCTACTATCTCTAGTCCCTATTCTTACCTAACTTAATGCTAATCTTTACAAGTAAGATATTCTAGCTGATCTTGCCAATCTGGCCATGATGTCTGCCTGCTGTTTTCAGTAGGTGCTGTTTTCCCAGTATGTTCCTCATACCAGGACTTTTGCTCTGAGAAGAGGTCCCCTTCCTGACTCTACATTTTTTTTTTTAAGATTTATTTATTTATTTATACAAGCACTGGGTACAGTCAGAAGTGCTAGAGGGTGAAAGGATTCACCAGAGCCAGAGCAGGGAACAGAACAGGCAGACTGACAAGATACACTGCTGAGGGGAGCAGTGGGCGGCAGGAGAGGTCTGAGCCCCATGTGAGACCCTCCCCGGTGGCTGGGGATCGAACTGGTGCTGCAGTGGCTGCGGGCAGCTTCGCAGCCCAGTGCTCAACCACTGCGCCACCAGGGGAGGCCCTCCTGACTCTACATTTTAGCTTGATCAGCAGGAACTCTGGGCACCAAGACAACAGCCCCAAGAACAAGGAGGGCGGGGGGGTTCCACAGAAGACAACACATAAACTTTGGCTAGTGGACATGACGGGAAGTATATTTGGGTCCTAGTTCAAAAAATCCTACATCCTGGGCCTCCCCGGTGGTGCAGCAATTGAGCGCTGGGTTGCGAAGCTGCCCGCAGCCTCTGCAGCCCGGTTCGATCCCCGGCTGCTCCCGGCCACTGGAGGAGGGTCCCGCATGGCGCGCAGACCTCTCCTGCCGCCTGCTGCTCCCCTCAGCAGTGTACTTCGGTCCTTCTGCCTGCTCTGCTCCCTGCTCTGGCTCTGGTGAATTCTCTCGCCCTCCCATGCTTCTGACTGTACCCAGTGCTTGTATAAATAAATAAATAAATAAATCTTTAAAAAAAAAAAAAATGACATCAGGGCCTCCCCGGTGGCGCAGCGGTTGAGCGCTGGGTTGCTCCCCGGCCACTGGAGGAGGGTCCCGCATGGCGCGCAGACCTCTCCCGCCGCCCGCTGCTCCCTTCAGCAGTGTGCTTCAGTCCTTCTGCCTGCTCTGCTCCCTGCTCTGGCTCTGGTGAATTCTCTCGCCCTCCCATGCTTCTGACTGTACCCAGTGCTTGTATAAATAAATAAATAAATAAATAAATAAACAAATAAATAAATAAATAAATAAATAAATAAATCTTTAAAAAAAAAAATCCTACATCCCAGGAATGGCTCATTCATCTCAGCTCTGTTCTCCTTTTACGTGTGTGTGCGTGCTTATGTGTATATGTAAAACCCTGAAGCCCAGAGAGGTTATGTGACTTGCCAGAAGTCACAAAGCAAGTTAGTGGGAGAACCCACCCTACTCAAGTCAACGAATGTTTATATAACGGCTGCCACGTGACTGAATTATATTCTTTATGCCAGAAACCAGAGACCGGACTGCGATGGGAGAACTTGCTAGCCAGTCAAGGGCTAGCCCCAGCTCCTCCCATGGCTCCAGCCACGGGGCCAGTCTACCTTCTGCCCAAGTGCAGCAGCCTCTGTGGGATAGTCACTTAGGAGTTTCAGCCCTTCCTTCTCCTCAGGAAAGGAAAAAGGAAAGGCCAGACGCCTACTCCGCCTTTTATTTGGGGGCCAATGAACCCCTTTCACCTTTCAGAAACTTCCAAATAACCCTCTCCTTTCCAAGCAATTCTAGGAAAATGAAAATTGACTCCCACCTGCTTCTCCTACCACCATTCAAACTAATGGCTCAGGGAGAGGCCAGGGACAGCTTCTTTGAGTGCCTGTGGCTTCCTCCTCCTCCTCCTCACAGCCCCAGGGATCTTGATAATTCCCATCAGTGATGTCACAGGATTGGGTGTGGAGGAGGCCACTACCCGTGACGGCAGGTGACTGGAAAGGCGGGAGAACAGAAGAAAAGAGCCAGGAGTCCCTCCGAGGGTCTGCGTTGGAGGCTTTTGGGTGAGGCAACAGCGGCTTATTACAGCTAATTTCCTTCTTCTTGCTAGAACTGCAAATCCACAGGGTTTTCACAGCATATTTGTGTATCTGGCGCTCTCAGCTCGCCTCCCCTCGGGGACCATAAGAGTTGCTGAGGAAAGAAACAACATGGTCTCCCATAATTTCAAAGCCAGTTCCACAGTTGTTAATAAATTAAGAGCTGGGGTGGGTGAGGAGGACTGGATGTGAGGGCTAGTGGCCCACTCTTGAGCCCCTCTAGAAACATCTTCTAGAAGTCAGGAGAAAAAAACAACATGCTGGGGTGGCTTCCCCAAGCTCACGTCCGCTAGACCCAGGTCTTTGTGGTACCAAGTCAGTGGGTGCCCTCCCCGCCCCCCCCCCAGGATTACTTGGTGAGGTAGGGGAGAACTGAAGCACATGCTCTCCCAGTTCTCTTTCTCCTGCTCAGTGGAGGGTGGGGGAGGGGGTGGCAACGGAACAAGCCTGGAGATTCCACACTCTCAGAGAAAGGGCAGGACTGCTGTTTGGAAAGAACTGGAAAATTTCCTTTCCTGGAAGACTTGACTAAACCCACTCACCTCTGAAAGGGTTTCCAGTCCAGCAGTCACACCAGTTGGAAATCCAACAGTCCGGATGCCTAGATGATTTTGTTACTCAATTTTTGGTCCTTGGAAGGAAGACTATCTCCAGACTGGGAGCTCCCTGAAGATCAGGGTCTCTGCCATCAGACTGGAAGCTCAATCAATAATTGTCAGAGGCAGGAGCATGACGAGGGACTTGGAAATAGCAGTGTGAGGACCCTGGGCAGGTTGAGCCCAAGAAGTCGGGGTGGGGGTGGGGGTGGGGGGTGGTAAGATACTACCTTGAAATAGCAGAAGTACCAGAAGGGCAGGCCTGTGCATCCTGTAGAATTTGCTCTAAGTATTGCTCCCAAGAAGAAGAGCTAGAATGAAAGGGAGAGGACAGAGAGGATGGGACTTTGGTTCCAGAAAGGATGAATTTTCTGTAAGAGTGGATCAGAAGAGGTAATGAGCCTCCTAAACTGCGAGGTGGAGCTTCTGAGGAGGGGCCCAAAGCACCAGGTGGCAGCTGGACCCCGTGGTCTTAAGATCGTTTCCACACGCAAGAGTCAACGAGGAATGAGGTATGTTCTGAAATCGCCCACCCCTACACCTTGAACGGCGTCTCCTGATATTGTCAGGGGGAGGCCAGAGGAAAATGGGTTGGAGGTCACAGTGACCCAGCTTCAGACAGGGAGGCCACTAAATAAATTAGTCGTCGGGCAAACAGCTACAGCAGAAAAGGATGAACACCGGGGTGGCTGCTGCAAGCCAGTCCTGCTGTCTGCAGCTGAATGGACAAATAAATAGGAAAATAAATCTTCCCTGCTGACCAGGACAGTGTTCGTCCTCACCTCACTGCAGAGGAGGAGGCCTCGGCTCACCCAGCCCTCTGCAGGGGACCCGCCCATTCTTCACAAGGGAACCTGGAGGGACTTGCTCAGAGTCACATAGCAAGTAAGGAGCAGGGGCGGGGCTAGGCCCCAGGCCTCCTCACTCCAGCCAGTGCTCTTGCTGAGGCCCTTGGCTGCCCCCACAGCACCATCTGCTCCTGCAGCAGCTGGGATTCCTTCTTAAAAATGTTCATCTCAGGCAAGTCCCAAAGTACACGGAGATGATATATCTGTTTGCTGCTGACCCCTAAAGAGCAGGCAGAATGAGCCCCTGACATTCTGGGGTACTAAGGGATGAATTACACTCCTTCCCCCTGCTTCTTCTCAAGGCCAAGTTCTCTCCTAAGCTACTGGCAAGCAGGGCCTTTGTCATCCTTCACCTTCCTGTGCTCCTTACTTCCTCCTGAGGCCTCCACACCTCATTCCTCCTGCTGCTCCTGGCAGCTGATAAACTCCTCCAGTAGAAGGGGGTGACGCTTCCAAGCATTGCCCTCCCAGAAGAATTTACATTTATGTCAGGTTCTGGGAGAGGGAAAGGCTGAATCTAGAATCCAGAACTGCAACAATAGACTTTCAGAATGACAGGGAGAGCTGGGGTGGAGGGGGGAGCAAAGATGCCTCCCAGGGACCCCCAACTACTCCCTGATGGGAAAGGAAAGCCAGGCTGAAGGCGGGGATACTCTCTAGGAGAAAGGCCTGCCGTAAGGAGGAACCTGGACACTCTGCCCAGGGAAGGGGCAGCCCCCTCCACAGGCACCAGTGGCAGAACTGTCCCAGCCCCCCATGGCCTGCAAGGACCAATAATCTCTCCCTGTTTGTTGGGCAGCAGGAACTAAGCTGTCCAGACTGATCCACATCCAGACAGGCCAGCCAGGAGGATCCACCACAGAACATCCTCCTTCACCCCCACCCCCAAAACAGATACCTCCAGTCACTGATTTGAAACCCCTCCTTGGGCTCATTAACCACACATTAACTGAATACAGTCATCCCAGGGAGGGAGGTCCCCCCGGAGGGTTCTGTCTGGCCCATCGGTCCCTAGGAACTGGAAGAGCAAAGCAGATTCCCTGTTGGGGACTCCTATGGATACCAGCCAAGCTGTTCACTGGCTCCAGAGCAGGGCCTGAGGCTCTTGTCCACTCCCCGGGCCCTCCTCCTGGACTCAGGGCAATTTCCCCAGAAGTGTGCTCACGCTGTGCCCCTGCGCGCATCTGAGCCAATTGACTGGATTTCAATCAGAAATCCATCTCACATAAGGACCGCTTTGGATAAAAGCAGAAGTAACCTGCAATCTAGATGCTGATGCCAAGCCATAATGGGGAGCCGGAGAGAGGCCCCAGCCCAACTGGGCCAGCCCCCAGCCAGGGTGAAAGCAGGCCTCAGCTGCTGCAAACTCAGCTACCAGGGACCTAAGGAAGGCAGGTAGCCTGAGGACCCTCCATCTCTGCCACTGGCCAGGACAGCCAAATCACCGACTCCGGTTGAGGAGTCACTAGGCTGCTAGCAGTCGATCAGGGTGGGGGAGCCAGCTCTGACAGTCCCTCTGGGCAGCTCCCGAGGTACCTGAGGTTCACCAGGCACTTGAAAGAGGCTCCGACAGGCCAGTTAAAGGGGCCAGGGGTTCCCTTAAAAGCAGGAAGAGCGGCGGGCACAGCACCTCTCCCCACCTCCCCTACCTCATAGCCAGCATCCACTTCGGCTACCCGATCCTCTCCCGGCCCTTATTGCTGTCAGGAAAGAGTAGCTCCGAGGGAGGGAAGCTGTTGCAGTTCCCGAACCCCGCCCCCCTCAAGACCTTGCACCAGCAGGTGGACTTGAAGCTGCAAGGACAGGAGGGATTCCAGGGAGAACTGGGGGCTCTGATGCGCAGCCCCGGCAGCCTCCCTGGTAAATAATGCACGCCTCCCCGTCCCGGCTGCAGCAGGTAGTGTATCAAAGTAATATCGCGCCGCGAATTGCAGTGTAATCGCGGTAATTTAGGGCCCCGTGGGTGAGCCGGTTTCAGAAAGGCGGCGCGCCCGGACGGGCAAGGTGACTGGAGCGTCTGCGCCGGCTTTGACCTCTGGATTTCCTCCAAGCTAAGTGAGCCCATAAAAAATTCAGAAACCCAGGCTGTCTCCTAGCAAATGGGGTGTGGGGTGTAGAGATTGTATTATCTATCTAGACGCAGCGAGACGGGTGCACCGGCCGGGAGTGAAGCGTGGGGTGTCCGCGGGCAGCGCTCACACGCGCCCAGGCGGCCTGGAGAGGCCGGGGTGGGGCGTCCGGGTGCCCTGCCTGGAGCAAGGAGATGTTTTCATTAGGACTTGGGCGGCCCCTGCCGCGAGCCCGCGGATGCGTCCCTCCCACCAGCTGCCAGGCAACCATCTTCCAGAGGCTCCCTGGACGAACTGGGCCTCGGTGGCTCCCTTCCACCCGCCCTCCAGCCCGCCTCCCAGCCCTGCACCGGGAGCTCGGCGGGGGCATTGATATTCTTGCCCAGTTCCTCCAGAGGGGCCCGCTGCCCGCTCCCCTCCCCCAGCCCCGCTAGGGAAAGTCGTTGCAGGGTGGAGATGATAACAGGAAATGCATTTGCAGGCTCCTTCTAACTTCTTGATGGGAGCCAGCTGGAAGGCAAGGAGCTGTGCTGTCCCTCTGCGCTCGCTCCTGGTGACCTAGAAGGTGATAATCATGAGCTTCTCTCAGGAAAGACAAAGAAATGGAAAAACTTATCGGCGCTGTCACATTGCATTAGCACAAAATCTTGTGTCTGTGGCCCCGCCTCGGCGCCCGGAGGGGTTGTCGATGCCAGAGGGGTTGTTTGGCATATTTTCAAGCCCCCATCCCATGCCCTAATTATCCATCCCGCTTCCTCCTCACCCCTCTACCCAAACATTTTTCATCTCTCGGAGAAGAGACGTGACATACACTAAGATTTCCCGGACCAACAAGCTGTTGATTTTCCCCACTCCCATCCCACCCCTAGTTGTTTCTCCTCAGCCTGGGCAGCGAGTGAGCTTGGGAGCTGGTAGGGAGCTTCCAAACTGGCAGTTTAAACAAGCAATGGTGTATACTCACAGCAAAACATTCTACAACCACAGAATGGAGGCGATTTGTGTGTGTGTGGCGAGATGGCCAGGATATATTGTTAAACAGAAAATGGGAGTTGCAGAATAGCGAGTAGAGAATGATCTCCTTTGTGTTACGTTGTAAATAGGGGCTAAGTACACACATGCTTGCATAGGCATAGAAAATGCCTGGGAGGATAAAAAAGAAATTCCTGACAGTGGTTGCTCAATGGGAGAAAAGGAGCAGAAAGGGGCTTTAATCTCTCATTCTTAAATTTTTGCCCTGTTGATTCTTTTCCAACAAACAATTGCATACTTTCATAATTTAAACATAAATCTTCCCCCGCCCCCAAAGCAATCTTTCCGTCTAACCCATTCATTTGAAACTGGGCCCACTGAGGGAAAGGAGTTCCCCAGGTTGCAGTGTTCACAGCCTGGTCTCAGCCCCTGTGCTCCACTTTCTACACCAGGCTCCTTCCCAGCCAGCCATGCCCACAGGCCTTCAGAGAGGGAATCATGGACCTCCCCCTTCCCAGAGCAGGTAGGAC